TAGTATTGAAAAAAGCTGACCATATTAACTTTAGAGTCTTTTAATTTTTTTGAAACTCTTTATGTCCTTCATAGGCATCGGAGGCATGTTCTTCATTTCTATTCTCTTCTATCCTGTTCTTTTGGTCTTTCCAAAGTTCTTTTATCTATTTATGTTTCCTTGGTCTTTTCTTTCTTCTTTGAACATACCTTTTCGATTACATTACCTACTTTGTTATTTTCGTTTGGCCAATTCTATTGATCAGTATCGGTTTAGTTTCGTTTTTTGAATTTTTGATACTAGCGATACCTCTTTTAGGTCACCTCAGATTTGCCCTTTAGCGGATTGTCTATTATTATATTGTTTCAGTTATTTTTTAGTAAACTACATTTTTAACATTCAAATATAAACATAGTTTTTATTTATAATTAACCAAAGCTGAGGAACCCTACCACATTCAATTTTAAAACATTGTAAGCCACTACCATTTTTTTCGTCAGTTGGAATACATTTCCTTATTTTTGTATCAATACCACGTATGTCACCTTTAATGTACTCCAATCAAAAAATGACAATTTTACAAAAAATTACAATATTCCGCATGTTTGACGGAGAAGGGAAGAAAATTGGTAGGTCTATTGGTTCAATAATGAAAGAAGAGGAAACGTTTTAAAATAATTTATTATGAATAAGCAACGTAGGTATACCAATAAATATATTAGATGGTAGATTTATATTAAAAAATTACTTAGATAACAATAATAAGGGACTGTAGATATTTCAAGATGACGACATACCAGGATATGCGTGGGGAAAGTTATTTCTTGGGAGACGCCCCTTGCATCAGAAAGCAAAAAACAAAACCAGAAAAAATAATAGAGATATCATATAAAAACAGAAATAACTCCACAAAAATCAATAATTATATCAGATTACGAATGAATTATATGGGCATTAATTAACGGAGCATTATTAACATGACTCAGTGTTTATTTATGGATAATGAAACTAGGCTCACTGGAAGAATTGAGAAAAATATACGTTAAGTGTGACTGTATTACTTTTTAGAAGATAGGATGAGAAACCATTTTATTCTATTTATTAAAATGACGAAGGCAGAACCCACACAAATGTTCCATTATCTTGGTTGTTGGATAACAAACAATCTTGATCACGAGGTCGAAATATTATCGGAATTTAGAGATCACACTCAGAGCCTTTAAGTCACTCAAGCCTACAAAAACATTCTCCACATAGAGGTTGAACAGCACAGGAGACAAAATACATCCCTGTCGCGCCCTTCTTAAAATTTCAAATTCCTCTGTGTTCCTTGATTTTTTCAGCCCCATTCGTGCCTTTTGATTCCAATAAAGATTCTGGATAACCCTTATATCTCTCTCGTCAAAGCTGTTTCACGAATAAAATAAATAAAATAAATTGACTATTAACAAAAGAAAAGTTATTATTTTATTTTGTAATGTAGTCTGCTCAGATGGAACAACTGAGTTCCATCAACAGCGAAGTTTTTGGATATATACCTACTGTGAGAGATTGCCGTTATCTAGAACGATTTCTTGGATTAAAGGCATAGTGGTATTGGGCCACGAAAAAGAAGAGATAAGAGACGCCAGTATGAAGTCATGATACAATTGGGACCATGCAAGTTCGGAACAGCGACACCTGGTGTCGTAAATCAGCAAAATTTACTGCGCTTTCATGTTAGATCGAGGTTACTGGATAACTGTCAAGGACGTAGCCCCAAAACGATTCATAGAATATCGGTTGTTTCGATCCTATTAGCTTTTCAAATCTGTACAAACTAATAATAGTGGTTATATTACTGATAAATCCTTGTTTATTTGAAAGAAATATTCTATTTATTTTATCAGTGATAGCTTTTGTTGCTTTCGAATGGTTCTGAACTAGTTTAAGGAACTATCACCAGTGTTCGGGTAAGTAGTTGATTCTTTTTTATGAATCAGAAGTATTTTTATATAAGTATTCCCCTTGGTGCTGGAATGAACTTCAGAAAATGGCCGGAAAATTTTTATTTTTCTATTTTTACTTTATTTTTAAGGTAAGATAAAATTCTACGGCGAACTTTATTATAAAATCAATGTAAAATGTGAACAACTCTCTAGATATTTTCCAGACAGCCAACTCAAATCTATTGGTAAGTCATCGTTTCCGAGAAATATTCATCACCCATGTATTCATACATTATTTCGCCCGATGTCGACGCGGACCAGACTAGAGGACGCCAACAGCAGCCGTCGCGGCGCCTTGAACTGTTCAGACTTCAGACAACCCCTGTCAACCTGTTGCTACTTGCCGTAAGCCCGACATAGGGTTAAAGACCTAATTTTAAACGCGATTTCCAAGCGTGCAAGTCAAAGAGACTCTGGTGTTTCAGAATTGCTCATTTCTCCATGTCGGTGGATTATTTTGAATTGAACTTGAGGTCTTTTATAAGGTGCTTAGAAATACTTTTGAAGGGGATGTGTTTTATGGGGTTTAATACAGATAATTTTTATTTAAAGTGGTGTTTACCAAGAATACGACTCATTTGAGAGAAATAAAGCAATAATACTACAAAAACTGAAATAATTAAAGCACAGTAAGTAATAATCATAAATATAAAAAAAATAGAAAAAAAATAAAACGAATCAATGGCCGATTGTTCGAACGCTAATCAATACTTGATTGTAATCAAATATTTAATTAAAATCAAATTCGTCATATTTTGAGGTTATGTTGACTAATGTATTTAATTTAATTTTATTATTTTGCGTTTTAATTTAAAATAAATCATAATTAAACTCTTTCTGATGTTAATTTCGTGTTTTTATTTACAAATAAATAATAATATTAAGCAATTTTTAATAATTTTGACAGCTGCTGTGACGCATTTGATTGTAATTAAATATTTGATTACAATCAAGTTTTGATTAGCGTTCCAACAATCGGCCCTAAGTGTTCGTTTTAATTCTACAAGAAATAATAATAACCAACTCAGTGAACGATATTGCTAGAGAAAACTGCAAAATGCCCATAAAGAAGAAGCAGTCATTTTTGTACCAATAGAAATATTATTTCTACTGTTATAAAAATAGTAGCCAAATTAAAGTACTATACTATAATTCCACTATTTGACAGTAGCGCACCTAGAATTGTCCTCTGGGGTGGGGGGATTTTGGTTCGGAACCGAAATTTTTTTATGTTACCTCCACCATTTTAAGTCCTTAAAATTTGTAAATAACAGTGTCGGAATAGGGTCCTGGGGAGGGGGGGGGGGTTGACCCCCAAAACCCTCCCTGGGTGCGCCACTGCTATTTGAAACAGTGATTTCATCCTTTGAAGGCGGAGAGGTATAGAACGACGTAGGAAAATCCAGTGGCGTACAGTCAGTTTTATTTCAACGTTAATTATATCATATTTTTTAAATAGTATTTGTTCTTAGTAGGCCACAATATATTTATTTACAGGTTTTACTGACGATTAGATATCTATATCCAAAGATCGTTTTCAAAGATATAAATGATAGTTATATTTTCTTTCGAAATCTCTGGATCACGATCTCTGGAATAGAGATCGCAACGTCAGTAAATTTAAACACATGAATAAATATTTTGTGGCTTATTCCTGCAATCTCCTAAAAATACAGAATGCAGCAAGCAAAAAGCTATAAAAAAACAAATTCGGAAGTTATTTCTTCATGATAATCTCCTGTTTCTCTTGACTCAAATTGAAGTAAACCATCATCAAGGAACCCTGTAACACATCCTATATTGATAATGATTAAACGTCGTCCCTTTCCTAAATTAACATTTAATCCTGTAAACCAGCCTTCTATAAATGCTTCGCGTTTACTTTTAATATTTAAATCTTGCTAAACTTTTCCGACTGTATGACCTTCGTTAATCCAGGTTTTATCCAAATAATATATTTTCAGTCCAATGCTGCGAATTTTGCGTATTTCTTCTAAATATTTTCGTCTCCACAAAACAATTTCTTTTTTTTAACAACATACTTTTTCTGTTGAGTTTTACACAGAAAATTTATTTTAAACTATTATCACTACAGCTGTTTCGGCTGATTCCTTTTCTCAAGTGATCTATTTTTGACATGCGTTTACACTTTATAGTCTCTAATGAAGTAGGTTGAGGAGGGGAGAACTGTGGATGTTTGAAAACAAAGTTTTCAGTGTTTTATTGTTACATAAAATGAATTTCCATCAAGTAACGGTCGAATCCATCAACTTTTACCTACTAGGTTTAACTTTTTCTTGCTGTTTATTTTCCGATGTATTGTTGAGCACATGATGAATACAGCTAACGGATACTTTTGTTAAACTGCTACAAATCTCTACCGCTTGGCTAACATTTAATGCCATTTTTCTGCTGACAATTCCTTCATATCGTATCACTACTTTCTCTTCTGACGTTAACATTTTCCGTCTCTTTTGCGGCTTTTCATTTTTGGAATCAACAGAATTTTGCTGTTTTCCCTTGGAACAACTTGATTGTTCTTCCATTGTATTTCAATAATCACAGAATATAACTAAAACTTCGCTATATTTTGTCACTATTTTCCTCCACTGGATACAATATGTTATCTTCTATTGACCGTTTTGTAATTCCATTGTTTTTCAAATCATCATATTCTCTCCATATTGCCTTACGTCTTACTATCTCGCTCTTCTTCCTGGTGATATCCATTCCGTAATCACTATTTCCTCATTATATGTCGATATAATCTTATTATTATAAGTAATTTTTTATTAGTCATTACTACAAGTTCTGTATAATATTAGTATGCAATTGGAAAATAGTAGCAAGCATATTTATCGAGAAAAAAATTAAATCAAAAACAGTTTCCATATCAAAATATCGTATGAGTGTTTTTATAAAAATATTTGTTAGTCACCAATTTACACACTTGTGATAAAGCAAAATGTTTTCACAAAAATATCGACTGTTTTCGTTAGATAAAAATAAAAATAAATTCAGAACATGACTTACCACTCCACCTCCTACAGAGTGAACTAGGATGGATTTTCCCTGAGTTAAACCAGAAAGCTCGAACAATAAAATATAGGCCACCGTATAATTCATTGTAATGGTAACAGCATCCAAGTGGGACACATCCTTAGGTAGTTTGTACACATATTTTGCGGGAACCGATACTAATTCGGCCCATGCCCTGTATTCCGGTAAAGCAACAACTTGATCACCAATCTGTAAAATATAAGGTAAAAATAAATCACAGTAAACAACAGCTTGAATAGTAAAGCGTTTATTATTGTCTTTTCCTTTGAATTTAGTTTATTATATATTATTTTTTATAGGTACCTATCGAGTATGAGGGTATCAACAAAACTTGAGGAAAATAAGAACGTTGTAATGTCATTTTCTGATATGCCTTCCATTCTGCTCACAATACACACAGACATGCATTGTGTCATTGGTAATTTTATAGATTTTGATGTGATATTTATAAAATTCACCTTTGCCACGTCATATCACCACCGCTTGAGCCGACAGTTTGGAAAAATGGCGCCTAATAACAGTTTTTTTACATTATCTCCTTTCCAACGGATTTTACGAGAAAATCATTAATATACAAAAAGAAACTAGAGAAAATGTCCTATAATTTATTTACCTATTTAATTTTTTTTTAATCAATAGTTTTGGCCTACCAGTACCACAAAATATTCATCTACACCACCAAGTTTTTTCGTATATTTCTCTAAAATATTATATTCTTACGGACTCGGTTATATCGCCAAAATTAATTTCTCCAGAATGTTGCTTAAATGCCTTATACATAGAATCACGAATAACTGCTTCATTTATCATACTTTTTGATGATACAATGATTCCAACTGTGTCAGTGGCACACCCAGATAGGGTTTTAGGGGTTAAACCCCCCCCCCCAGGGCACTATTCCGACACTGTTACACAAACAATGCTGAAGTGTAATAGATGTACAGTGGATAAGACTATAAACCGTGCGACTGTGAGAGAAATGATCGTGAAGATGATGAAAAGTAATCCGAACAGTAATTAAAAAGAAAGAAGAAGAGAAACACTAACCGGATAAGAGAAGTAAGTGTTCCAAAAATCTCGTCAGCCTTACTGCGGCCATCCCACTTTGGGAGTACAGTACGTGAGACAGTCAACTGCACACAAGTAGAAGAGGGTGGTTTTAGTTGGTGGACACGATAACAGATACTTGAATCTTTGGCACTGCCATCTTTAGTACCCAAATGTTAAAGACTCAAAATGGAAGCAGAAAAAAATTCGGTGTGACCAACCAAACCCCCCTCCCCAAGGGAAATTCTAGGTGCGCCACTGAACTGAGTCAAAAGATAAATTCCTGGAGAATGATGCGAACACAAACCGCCTCAAGGACAAAATTTTAAGCTGAGAATTTCATGGTCTCACAAACCTAATCTTCTTCAATACCGCAACAAGTGTTTCACCAGCATTTAATACCTTCATAGTGGTCGGCGAAGCTATAGATCTTCTTATTCTTTTGACAGCTCTATGTATGCGATCAAACGTGCAAATCAAACAATTTTCTCAAACCAGGAAAAGGAAAAATTTCCCAACGAATCTATTCTACTAAAACTATCATAGAGAAAACAGCTGCAGATCATATTTTGTTTTTGCATGTCTTCCGTGGCTGTGATACATCTACCCTCTATATCTCTTTTATAAGGAAAAATGAAATACATTCATTAGGTAACTGGAAAAAATCCTAATTTAAACGACGTTATTCGGATATTTAAAAATCCAAACGCTGGTCCAGAGATCATTGCTAAAGCAGGAAAACGGTTCCTTCGTGAATTATACGGTAACAGTGATATTAAAACTAAGAAAACCATGTCTTTAAACGAGTATAGATAGTAACAAAATCAGCATATAAAAGTAAATTTAATATTGCGTCGCTACTCCCAACAGAAGCACTAAGCAGCCGCACGACAACGTTCATTCCGAATCTATCACCAGGTTCAGCAGTGGTACGAAAATGAACAAAATGCAGAACAATGGGGATGGTACAGAAACAAAAATAGGCTAATTCCTGTTACGACGCTCGAACCCCAGCTCCAGAATTCTTGTTAAAAATTATTTCTTGTACCTATATGTAAAAAGCAATGTCAGAATGTGTTATGTACAAAGTGTGGTAGTGGTTTTAATAATTCGCTATTATTATAAAGTGCGACTGTTTTCAGATAAATGTTTGATGAAATCGAAGAGCTTTGTTATGAGTCTGATACTCGCATCGGAAATGATGCGAACGAAATTTCGGTCTGCAACGTCTCGATCGGTGCCCAATACGAATTCGCAACGTCTGGTAAATCAGGAACAGCAAAGGGGAAGAAGATTGCACTAAGTTTCGAAAAGGCGCATCACATATACCTCCAGGTGGTGTGGAATTAATTTTTTTTTTCAAAACGCATATTGAAATCTACTTTGCGGCTCTCGTACGCCAAAAACTATTACTTTTACAAAAAACTGTGAACACATAAATTGTAGGAAATGCGAAATGCGTCGAAAAGGAGATATTGTAAAGAAGAAACTGTTATTAGGGGTCATTTTCCAACATTTTCTCCGCCGCGGAGCGAGCGGCGGAGATACAAGTTGGCCAAACTTGAAATTCAAAACGAAATCTTCAAAATTACTAATTTTCAAAATTCACGAAAAACTTTCACGGTAAAATTTAAAAGAGTAATTCCCAGTGGCTGGCTGTGTATCTACCATAGTTTAAAAAGAATGTTTTCGATCCTATCAGATCATCATCAGTGACAAATCTACAAATAAGAATAACCACTTAAAAATGAAAACAAAGGGGTAAAATTTTGACTATTAAATTGAAAATGTGGTTAATACTTACGTCTATAAAGTATTTGGACTAGCCACATAATAAGGTCAGAAGACCCTTAAATTACATAATTTGGATGATGAACATTATAATTATTAAGATACTAGGTTGATAATAAAATATTGCATTTTTTAAGGGAACTTACAAATTCCCAGCTCGAAAAAGGGTACCTTATGCCCTGAGAGGCAACCAACTGTTGATAGAAGGTAGTAAAAATTGTTTTGAAATGAAAAGACCTTCAAGACAAGTGATAGGTAGTTTTTTGAAAAATAATCAAATAGTCTATGTCCATTGAGGGTGTTATTTAGAATTAAATTTATATTATTGTTTTAAATGATATATAATACAACAAATAAAGTTATTTGTTGTTGAAGAAAAAGAACAATTTTGTATTATTAATAATTAAAACGTTAGCTAAATAATTGCTTTTGAGTGATGACGTCATCACTCAGAAATGGAGATGGAAGAGTGTTTAAAATGTGTATATTTTAAAGAGATTTCTTCCAAATTTCTTTTAATGTCAATAATACCCTCAATCTCTTACTGTCCAAGCTTGATCCAAGTATTTTAAAAAATTCAGACAACTTATTTGTTTATATTGTGTGCTTTTAAGGGCAGTATAATGATGATATAGTGATTGGCCCACTACATTTTCAATTACTATGTTTGTTGGCTGCAGGTGCGGTACTTTAGTTGCCTGTAGTTCATAACGTTTTAGAATTGAAACTAAAACTAAACTAATTAAAGAAATGGGCAGTTGATGTCCAAAGCAACTATAAAGACACAGTATAACATATTGATAAAATGGACAATATAATAAAAGGAGGTAAGAAAAGATACAGGACATGAAGTAAAAACAATTTATATACAAGACAAATCTAATCAAATCTAAATATAGTTCGATCGAGTACTACGTCTAAGTTAACCAAATTTAAGTATATTCTTACGTAAAAAAATATATGAGTCATATTAAAAAACTGTAAACATATCTATTACTAATATTATGTTCATTCACGATTTTTCTAGGTATTACGCACCTGACAAACGATAGGTTCCCCTTCGCTATAAAAACAACGATCGAACTTTCTGGAGACGCGCCGATGTAAAAAGACCAGTTTTTGGACCAATTCGCCGCTCTGTCTACGTCTAGGTCTATCAAGGGGCGTTTTTCTAGCTGGGTCGGTTTGCTTCATCCGCATTACATGGCCTACCCACCTCAGACGTCCTATCTTAATGTGTTTTACGATATCTGGTTCCTGGTATATTCTATAGAGTTCGAAGTTGTATCGTCTTCTCTAGACACCATTTTCATTTACCGCTCCATAGATTCGCCTCAGTATTTTTCTTTCGAAACATCCTGTTTTCATTGCTTTTTGTTAAAGTCCAGGTTTCTTAACCATATGTTAGGACTGGGCGTATTATTGTTTTGTAGAGTTTTACTTTTGTATTTCTTGATATAGCTGTAGATTTAAAAAGGAGATTAAGCCCAAAATAGCATCTATTAGCCGTGCAAATTCTGCGGTATCTCTGCGGTAATGTCATTTTCAGTATTGAGGAGCGTTCCCAGGTATACATATTCGTTAACTGCTTCGATGACGTCATTTTCTATAACAAGTGGCCGTCGTATTTGTGGTTGCGGACCTACTTTCATGTATTTCGTTTTTTTAACGTTTATTATTAAACCCATTTTTGTAGCCGCTTCCTTTAGTGCTACATACACCATACACCTCTCTTGCTGCGTTTTCCGTTCTCCCAACAATATTGATCTCATCAGCATATGCTAGGATTTGCACAGATTTGTTATATATTGAACCGGTAGTTGTGATTTGTGACGTACGTATTACTTTTTCCAGAGCTAGATTGAATAGTATACAGGAGAGTTGGTCTCCCTGACGTAGCCCGTTATTTGTATTAAAAGGTTCAGAGAGTTCCCCCTGGATTCATACTCTGCATTCAACTTTTTCAAGGGTTAGTTTGGTTAGACTTACCAACTGATTTGGTACTCCCAGGTCTATCATTGCTCTAAACAATTCTCTTCTATTTACAGAGTCGTAGGCTGCCTTGTAGTCTATAAATATGTGGTGCGTATCTACACCGTATTCCAGTGTTTTCTCTAGAATTTGTCTCAGGGTTGAAATATGATGAATTGTTGATTTACCACCTCTGAAACCAGCCTGGTATTGTCCTATTATTTGCTCTGCATACGGTGCCATACGATGGCATAGTATATTGGAGAATATTTTATACGCTGCATTTAGGAGCGTAATTCCTCGATAGTTAGAGCATTCAAAGATATCTCCCTTTTTGTGTATGGTGCAAAGTATTCCAATATTCCAATCACTGGGGAGGGACTTCTGTATCCATATTTCTTTTATAAGCTGTTGTAGCACTATTATGATATCGTAGCCACCTTCTTTATATAATTCCGCTGGAAGATGATCTATTCCGGGTGATTTGTTTCTGGCTAGTTTGTTTACAGAGTCTTTAACTTCCAGGATCGTTGGTGGATTCTCCTCCCTCTCGTCTGCTCCGCTTACCTCACAGCTTTCGTCTTCCCTGTTTTCTTCTTCTTCCTCTATATTAAGTATCTGGTTAAAATATTCCGTCCATCGATTTGGAAACGTCTGTTCTTGTTGTTAATAGATCGCCATTGAAACTTCTACATTGATTTGTGTTTGCCTTGAATTCTTTTCTGTTGATGGTAACTTTCTTATGGAATCTTCTGAATTCTTTCTCTCTGTTGAGGTTTTCTATATATTAAAGTTCCTTTTTTAAGTGGTTTCGTTTCTTCATTCTGTGTATTTTCTTTTCTTCTCTTCTCTTTGTCTGGTAATTCTCTACACTTGTTCTAGTCCGGCGGGTAAGCATTTTTGCATAAGCTTCATTTTTTTTTCTCAAAAGCACATTGTGTGCTTTTGAGGGCAGTATAATGATGATATAGTGATTGGCCCACTCCATTTTTAATTACTATGTTTGTGGGCTGCAGGTGCGGTACTTTAGTTGCCTGTAGTTCATAACGTTTTAGAATGGACAATCTAATAAAAGGAGGTAAGAAAAGATACATGACAGTTACATTACATTTTTACATTACGTAAAAAAATATATGAGTCAAAAAAACCGTAAACATATCTATTACTAATATTCTGTTCATTCACGATTTTTCTAGGTATTACCCACCTGACAGACGAAAGGTTTGTCTTCTTTTTGTTATATTTTTTCTGAACATAGTGAAATAAATGGTAAATACTTACAGCAAAATCTTCCACTCCTTCACCAACTTGTTCAATTTCACCTGCACATTCGAAGCCTAAAATAAAAGGACATTTGGGAGGAGAATCGATGGCTCCTTGGCGTACCATTAAATCTTGGAAATTCAAACCGCTGAAACAGAAATATTACTATTTAGTTTAAAATATTATTTCCATTTGATTATTATTATACTAAAGTTATATCAACTACCAAGAGATAGAGAAAGCCTATATATATAGGAAAAAATATTTAATGTCTGTGATATTTTTGATGGAAGACTAAAAGTAGGACCAATCTCCAAATAGATATTTAATGAAGATTTAAACATAATATATAATGTTTTTAGATGGTCCTTTACAAAAAGTTTCATTAATTCATCACCCTTTCATGACTAGAAACACAGAAATGTAGCAATAAAGTGTTGCTTTGTTTGTTGTAGACTTGCAGTGAAGAGTTAATATGTGTTTAGACTGCAATGGACAATTTCAAAATTTTGTGGTTAAATGATAATTCGTTTCTATTTCAGCATATAATCTTTCGACTATAACATTTGTATAGATAAACTGAGTTTAAAAAAATATTTTACTACACCGAACTTAATCTTTTAAATCACATTCTAATATAATAATTACCAATTTATATACTCTACAGAGCATGTTTAATAAAATTCACATAAAATAACAGCTCAGAACTTTTTAATATCCACCTCACACAGCATCTAAACAGCTATTCTAAAGTCCATAATTTTCGAGAGAACATTATACATGCAACAAGAGTAGAAATATAAAAGAACCCTTTAGAAATTTAAACTAATAGAGAAATACTTTTTTATACGTTTTTAATACGTTTTTGAAACAAATAATTTTGCTGTTTTGCATAAAGGATTCTAAAAGAGCATGCATAAAGAATAATAAATTGTATAAAAAAACTTTTCCTCTAAAAATTATATCCATAAATGGCCAATCCATGGCCAATTTTTGATAAAATGTAACAACCTAAATTGTTTATATGCAATTCAAGTTATACAGACTAATGGTCGAATCGACGATTAATGGACGAAGAAAAGCTTAGAAGCTTTGAACGAAAAATTTTCGGACCTCTACATGACATCACCACAAACCAGTATAGGATCAGAACCAATATCAAATTAAAAGCACTCTACAATGACGCCGATATTGTCCAAGAAATTAAATCACAGCGACAAGATGGTCAGGCCACGTGCACAGATTGCATAACAAGAGACTTGTAAAACTGGTATGGGAGGAGATTCCCACAATCAAAAGACCACTCGGACGTCCCAGAATGCGATGAAGAGATAACATCCAAGCAGATCTCAGGGATCCAAGCAGAACACATTGGAAAAAAGTTGTACAGTCAGCCAAGACCCACCCAGGGTTGTAGCGCTACGTGATGATGATTATGAGATTAATGGTCAGTCACAATACCTATAACTTTAGAGCAGTGGTGGGGGGGTTCGGTTGGGCACCGAATTTTTTTTTATACTACCTTAAATTTTGAGTCCTTAAATTTTGTAAGTAACAGTGTCGGACTAGTGGCCCTGGGAGGGGGGGGGGGGGTTCGAAACCTCCGAAACCCCCCTGAGTGCGCCACTGATACAGAGTAATGGCATGATTTATGACATATTTAAATAATACATTATTTACAACTGCAATTATTATATATTTCATTATTAGATATTTATAATTCTACATATGGCTAAACAAGAACAGAAGTGATCTGTCTAAGTGACATTTTGGTCAAAACTGATATTGCCTATTCTGTAATCTAAAATTCATAACGCAACTTCTGAAAAAGTCATGTAACTGAACTTGCAATTGCAGAGGCACTGTTTCACAAAAATCCCTTCTGCAATTTGACATTTTAAAATTTAGTGCAAAAGTAATCTATTAGATATTTATGTCACTTGGATTAGTTTTACACGTAATATTTTGTGCAAAACTGATCCATCTTGAAAAAGATAGATGATATTCTGAACTTTTTAATCCAGCTGAATGCTCTTTAAAGAAGAAGAAGAGTATTTTAGGTTATGTATTGTGTCAGAAAAACATATTGTTGGTTTGCCGAATTTAAAAGTTTTTAAAATGTCGTTTGAAACACGAGCTCACAGAATTGTTAAGGCAGCATTGAACGTGAGTACACCTTTAACCTCTAGACGACAGGATGCTGTAGAAGACTCGCATACAGAATTTTCGAAGAATGGACAAAATTTAAATAGTCTGTTTAGCAACGGTACGTATTTAGAATCGTATTAAGAGTAAATAATCATAGGCAAGGTGGCAAGTTTGTTTTTTATTACATTTGAATAATAACAATTTTATTATAACCAACATTTTTTGTATGTGAGTTAGATTACTTCTGCTCTTGATGTTAAAACATGTTGGTATATAATTTCAAATGTAAATAGATAAAAAAAACGTACTTGGATCACTTTTGCTCTTGCTTTTTTAATTTTTGTTTGAATTACCTTCTCTGTGTACCTTTTTTATTATTTTTTTAAACGGGTAATTTTAAATGCCAATAATTATTTTAACTAATTTTATTTTATTTTTTTTTTTTAGAACATAAATATCCGGAATACAGTGCTGATAAAAATATTACTGCGGCACATACCTTTGATTCTATCCAACCAGAATTATCTGGAACTGAGTCTGAGCCCTTTGCCGATAGTGGTGACTCTTATCAACCTTCAGGAGAGTCATCGGATTCTTCAGAGGATGTAAATGTCAGGGAAAATTTATTCCAGGAAAATGTTGCTACCGTGCAAAATATGGGTACAACAAAAGACCTTGTACAACGAAAACGACGTAACGGAAATGCATGGAAACGAAACGTAATTAAAAATAAAAGAAATAAAGGAGAGGAATATACAAATTACAAAGGAAAAGTTATTCCTGATAAAACTTTTGCTCCAATAATATGCGTGTGCCGAAAAAAATGTAGTGACCAGGTAACACAACAGATACAAAAAAAATGTTCACGCTTAATTTTACTCATTGGACTGGAATGGTCAAACAACATATATTTGTGCTGCTGTCAAGGTGCTGACGCCTAAGAGACTAAAAGTAAAAGGACCCAACACTCCCAGTCGTAGACAACACTCTTGATACTTTTATTTTAACAAACACCATGTTTGCAAAAGTTTCTTTTTAAAAGTGTTGCAAATCTCCAATAAAAGATTAGATTATGCTTTAAATAGAAAAAGGGATCCAGATACTTCCATAGGCACTCCTAATCAGAGGAGCAAAGGACCGTCGGGTAATAAAATAAAGAACGACGTCAAAGATTTTGTGAAGCAGCATATTGAAAGTTTTCCCCGATACACGAGCCACTATGGGGAAAGAACATCTAGCCGGCAATATTTAGCACCTAATTTGAATCTTCAAATCATGTACACTTTATATGAAGAAAAAAAAATGCCAAGAAAGGAATGAAACTCCTGGAAAGAAAAGCTACTATGAGAGCATTTTTAGAGCCTATAACTTTCATTTTTACATGCCGAAAAAAGATACATGCAAAGCATGCGATATTTTTCGGGTACAAACTCAAAACGAAACTAACGTCGATAAAAACCTTCAGCTTAAACAACAGCAGAGTAATCACCATCTTCTCGCTGCTACAGCAAGGAACTTATTAAATAGCTACAAACAATCCTCTTTAGCAAATAAAAGCACATCTTGCCTAATGACTTTTGATTTACAACGTACTCTTCCAACTCCAATGGTACAAACTGGAGAGGTTTATTACATGCGTCAGTTGCAAATGCTAAATTTTGGACTGCATCTTTATTCAGCAGTTGGCGACACAGTAACAATGAATATGTGGTACGAAACAACTGGAAACAGAGGTTCCCAGGAAGTATTATCCTGTTTCTATTATAATATAAAAAATGTGTTGCCCAAAAACATAACCACGCTCTATACATTTAGTGACTCGTGCTCTGGTCAGAATCGTAATTGGAATATGCTGTTTTTTATGTTTGTCGTAAATTCTTGTCCAAATATTACAGAAATAGTGACCTGCTATCTTGTTAGTGGACACTCATTCCTGCCAAACGAATCTGATTTTTCAGATATTTCAAAAGCACAAAAGAAAAAAGAATGTATTTACATTCCGCAAGAGTGGATGTCTTTGGTAAAAGATTGTAGAAAAAAGAATCCATACACATTAATTGACATGGTCGGAAAATTTGTCGACTTTAATGAACTGGGAAAAATAATGAATAAAGGTGGAAAAAGTACCACTGGTAATAACATTTTGATATCAAAAATGTGAAAAATTAAATTTTTAAAAGGAGACAGTAAAATTTATTTTAACAGTGACTACTCAGATAATTACGAAAGTTTTGACTTAAATAAATGCAAAAAAAAAGAAACTTTTTTTAAAACCTTACAGTTTTTTATCCCTACTGATTCGAACGATTACGCAAAACCTTTAAGTTAGGAAAAAATGCAAGACATAAAAAAGATTCTTTTATATGTTCCACCCATACATCACCCATTCTATTTAAGCTTACCCCCTAAGCCTCGCAGGGGTCAAGCAGCCCAGGAAGACAATAATCTACCAGGCACATTGGGTGAAGAGGAAGGAGATAATAACTAAGAATGTTAATTTATTAAGTTAAAAATTAGTTTTTTTATCAGTATCCTTAATTCTGTTCTTTTAGCTTTAGTATTAAAAATTTAAAAATTTAGTTTTGTAAAATAAACGTTTTTTGACATATTAATAATATTATTGTAGTATTACAGATAAACCCCTTTCTGCATTACTACGTTGACTTATTTTGCTAAAAGCAGAAGTGGTCCAAGTGTAAAAAATGCTATGTTTTGGGACCATTTTGTTATTTTTTTTTGTGCTCAAGGGTACTAAAATTTTTATTTTATTTTATTGATTAACATAAAAAAACAAAATTAATTCAAAAATAAAAGAATAACGATTTTTTGAAGAAAAACTATTCAAATGTCACTTAGATCACTTCTGTTCCTGACTAGCCATATATAAATCTACATATTAGATATTATGTATAACATACAGAGAATACAATGCACAAAATTTTGTAAGACAAGGAAAAGTATTACGGAAAAAAATCTTCACAGGCATATTTACGAACTGAC